TATATTTATATTTTTAAATATATATAATTATTTCTTAGTTTTGATGATATTTTCGAGTTAATTAAAATAAATTCTTCAACAGCCGATCTCTCCCTCGCGGAATGGGGTCGTAAAGAGATCACCCTGGCGGAGAATGAGATGCCAGGGCTTATGTCGATTAGAAAAAAATATGGACCATCCAAGGTGCTGATGGGTGCACGGATCGCCGGTTGTCTTCACATGACCGTGCAAACTGCGGTGCTAATTGAAACCCTGGTGGAACTTGGCGCAGAAGTAAGTTAAGATTGAGATTGGATTGGAATTTAATCAATCAGAAGAAAGAAAACTAATCTCAAGTTTAGTAAACTTTGCTTTTATTAGTTAAATTTCAATCTATTCTCTTTCTAGTCTGATCACATAGCTTTAAGGTCCATTACTTGTAAAAAAAATTTTAATTGTAATCGTAAAACTGCCGAACATTCTAAAACGTGAAATCGCAATCGCAATTTTGATTGTGAATACCGGTCTTAGTTATAAATAATAAAAACGATAGAATTTCATGCAGTTTTTTACTTATTGACAATAAACATGCAAAGATAAAATGTGCACATGAACATTATTATCATTGACTTTGTGATCTCTCCCGTAAATCTGAATATATCACATTTAGTCAGAAACATTATTTTCTTGACATACATGCTATTCCAAGTATAGTAAACTTCCATTGTAATATTTGTGAATAAATATTATAAGAAAAGATCTCTTTTCTCCATTTCAAAGAGTTTCTTGTTGAACTTGAACATCTTTACAAAAACCTTTGATAAAGATCTACATATTTTGTGAATCAATTGTTTTTATATTCAAAAAGTACTTCTGTAAATTAATATCCAGTTCTAATTGTAAAAACTATTTATTTTGAAAATCAGAATCATGTAAATTATTTTTACAATCGAAAAGAACAGTAATTAAAAAAAAATGTTTAATTTATTTAGAAATCTATAATATCTGAACTACACGAATATTAAATCACTTTTGTATTGCAGGTACAATGGTCGTCCTGTAACATATTTAGCACGCAAGACCACGCAGCAGCGGCGATAGCAAAGACTGGAGTACCGGTATATGCATGGAAAGGAGAAACTGAGGAAGAGTATATCTGGTGCATTGAACAAACCCTCGTGTTCCGGGATGACAAACCATTCAATTTAATCCTCGATGATGGCGGCGATCTGACCAATCTCGTGCATACCAAATATCCGCAGTATCTTAAGGAATGTCGCGGCCTATCCGAGGAAACCACCACTGGTGTGCACAATCTCTATCGCATGATGAAGGATGGTACACTCAAAGTGCCGGCGATTAACGTTAACGATTCCGTCACCAAGGTTTGTATATTCCCACGAAAACAAAGTCATGAGTTAACAAGTTTATGAAAACAAGTTTATGAAATACGGATAAGCTATCAATGTGGAATTGACGTTTAAAGTGTGTCAATAAATTAGAAGAAAATATCATTAATGATTTGATTAGAATTTGATAGTCATTATATGTGCACGAATTAAGATAAATATGAAATTATGAAAAAATAATAACAGTGACGTAACTGATAAATGAATGATAAGTCATTCGTAAATGCATTAACATTTGCAGAAATCGTGACGCAATGCATGATATTGCCTGTCTAAAAATAAACATTGATATTTCACATAGTTACACTTTACAATGTTTTTCAAAATGAAAATAAAAAATAAAAAATAATTAAAATAAGAAATTAAATTAGAGAATTCGCAAAAATCTATTAATATCCAAATAATAATGATGATGAAGCTAACTTAGTTTTATATTTTTACAGAGTAAATTCGACAATTTGTATGGATGTAGGGAATCATTGATAGATGGTATCAAGAGAGCGACCGATATAATGATTGCTGGTAAAGTATGCGTGGTAGCCGGATATGGAGATGTGGGTAAGGGATCTGCGCAAAGTCTCAGAGCTCTCGGCGGTCGCGTTATTATCACAGAGATTGATCCTATCAACGCCCTTCAAGCGGCCATGGAAGGATACGAGGTACATTAAAAAGGAAACCGATCGATTATAAAATTGTCAAAGTATCATCTCGATTACTGAGTACACGTTATTGTACCATATTATATTGCAAATTAATATTAATAAGTGTCACGGTCTTAGAGCAATTAATAAATATCTGTAATCCGTAGGTAACAACGATGGATGAGGCAAGTACGAAGGGCCAGATATACGTAACCACTACGGGATGCAAGGATATCATCGTGGATCGTCACTTTATGAACATGCCGAACGACGCTATCGTCTGCAACATAGGACATTTTGATTGTGAGAT